ATATATATATTAGTATATATATATATATATACATATGTATAACTGTATATATACAGTAAGAATAAGAATAATCAAAAGATAATATATAAAAAGTAAAGTAATATCCTTAGGAGGAACTGATTCAGTTGCAGTTAGTATGCAATACGCTTATATAATATATATATATATACAAATAAATATGTATATATATATACATATTATATATATATACATATATAAATGTATGTATAGATATATATATATATATCTATATGAAGGATACATGAACAAGACACAACTTCTTTTGCTTCCACCTAAACGAAAAACGAAGGAAAAGAATTAAAAATTAATTAATTTATTCTTAAGTTAAATTAATTTCAATTAGTTTTGTCTATCGCTGCAGAATAATAAAAAAAGAATTAAAAATTAATTAATTAATTTAAAAAATTAAATTTACTTCAAGTAGTTGTAGCGCAGCAATTAACATATTTCTTCTTCGATAAGGAATATTTATATTTCATACTTCATATATATATATATGTTTATACATTTACTTATCTATTCATATAATTATTTATTTATTTATTTATTTATTTATTTATTTATTTATTTATTTATTTATCTACGCTCTCTCCCTCCACGCCCCCTTTACCCCTCTACAGGTGTCACTCACTTCTCCACCACTGCTAACTAACGAAACCGCCTTAATTTTGCATCATTTTTCTGCCTTTTAACTTTTATTTATGATTTTAATGATTAAAAAATATAAAATTATTTTAATTTGCAATAAAAATGCTGAAAAACGAATATATTTCTATAGGTGGTGTTGCGCCTGCGTTGGCTACAGAGGCGCACGCTTAGTTAGGAAATATTTTTCTTGAAATCTTCTTCTGAAGTATCGTTTTTTATTTATTTTTGCAGAATAAATAAATAAAAATAAATATAACTAATTTAAAACAAATTATTATCTTTAGACAGAATGAATTTAAAGGCAAAGCCCTCATATTTTAGTTTTTGTTTGAGTGGTGGCTGTTGTTGTTCAGCGGCGAGAGTTATGTTTGAATAAACCCGCTTTTTTATTCTTTTTATTTTAAAATAATTTCTTTTATTTTTATTTATATTTCTTTAATTAATTAATTACTTATTTCAGCGTTTTTCTTCATTTCCTAAGAGGATTCTACCAGTGCTCGCACCTTTTCTGCAATTTGTTGAGGGTTTGCACACCTTGATTGAAATATTTTGATTTATCGCTTTTTTCTTTCAAAATTTGATTTTTTTCTTTTTATTTTCTTTTTTATATTTAAATTACAAACAAATTAAACCCCTATACACCCAAAACAAACAAAAAATGTGCGCCAATATTGGGGTTATGCTAACGCGAGTTTGTAAATGCACTGTAGCTACATTTAAAAATGTCGCTATAACAATTAAAGAAACTGCATTTAAATATCTTATTGTAGGCACATAAATGAAATAAATTAAGAGAGAGAAAGAAAGAGAAAAACAAATACATATACATATTTATATATAATATATATATTATATATATAATATATATATGTGTATAATCTATATATGCATAGATATTTGCATCTATGCCTTTAGATAATATATGTATAATATATATATATATATATATATTATGCATATATATATAAAAGATGAAAGAAGAAAACAACAAAACTAAGAAGAATTGCTTCAGTTGGGAGTGCTCAAAAGAAAGAGAAGGCGGAGGTATTGAAAAGAAAAAGAAGAAAAATAAACAAAATTAAATAAAGAAAGAATAAATATTAATTTGAATGAAAAATGAAAGAAGAAAGAATAAAAGCAACGCAAAATAAAACAAACAACAAGACAAACGAAATCAAAAAAAGCAGCATTTATTTATTTATTTATTTTATTTTATTATTTTAAACATTGAAGCAAGAAGAAAAGACAGCGAAACAAAGAAATCCTCTTTTGTCTTTCTTCAAGCATTTCAATAACTTCTTTTAATGCATTTAATGCATTAAGATTTAATTCTATTTCTATGATTATGTTCATCATGTGCATTACAATTAAATTTTCTTTCAATAATTCTTTTTATCAAGAAATATATATATAATATATATATAATAGATATAAATATATACAATATATATATGTATATAATATTTTACATATATATATATATATATTTATGCTTATATATATATATACAGTTGTATACATCACCTACTGCAGCTGCCGTACTTTCATCATTTTCTTTGTCTTTTACTACGATTAAGTTTACTTATTATTGCAATTATTATAATTAAAATTCTTATATTTATTATTAGTATTATTATTTCTACTTATTATTACTTCTATTGTTATTATTGTCGTTGTTCTGCTTTTCATCAAAATTTGTTTTTACCTGTCAATTGTAATCCTCCTCACCTTCTCGCGGTCGCGTTCAATATCCACTATTTTTTTATTTATTTATTTGTTTATTTATTTATTTATTTATTTATTGTTAGCATCTTGATTTATTTGATTTATTGTTCTTTTATTAACTTCAATTAAAAGAATTGTTATCATTAGTTCGTGAGTTTATCTAATTAATATTTTATTATTATTAATGTTACTACTTTTATTGATGATATTATTAATAACATTATTATTGCTATTATTACTATTATTAGTGTTATTATTATTATATTTATTTCTATTTGTTTCATTACCCCTTCGCTTACTTTGCTGCATCTTTGCACAACTGTGAATTACAATTTAATTAAATAAATAAAATAAATAAATAATTCTTCTTCTGAATAGAAGATTGTCTTTATTTAATAAAGACAGTCTTTGTTTGAAGATAACTTTAATATTACAATCGTTTAGCCAAACAAAAACTTTTTAAAGATATATTTTATTTTTCTGCATTTGTTTGCATTCAGATTACCTTTTCAATGGCTGCGTGTAGATTAACTCCGTCTTAATGCATTTACACGCTTTTTTTGTTTGTTAGAAACTGCTGTTAGGGTTTTATAGAGTTGAAGAGATCAGCAACATTCAGTATATATATATATGTATTTATTTATTTAGTTGGGTGTTTACTTTAAAGGGCTTTCCTATTAGAAACAGCATCTAGCGTAACTAAAAAAGAAATTCATAGCCTTTGTTGCCTCTTTGTTGCAAAGGGAACAGCTGCAGCAGCTGCAGCAGCTACAGCAACTGCAACAGCTGCAGCAGCTGCAGCAGCTAGTGCAGCTGCAGCAGGCGCAGCAGGCGCAGCAACTGCAGCAGGCGCAGCAACTGCAGCAGCTAGGGAGGTGCAGCGCTAACCAACAGAGAAGGTGCAGGGGGTTAATTGTATTAAAACCTGAATTAAAAAATGCATAAGTTTATAAACAAAAGAAGTTATATGCTAAATGCCTTTAGAAATATATTCTCAGGGGTAGTGGGTTTGTTTACTGCATCAGCTAGCTATCTAGCTAGCCAACTAGCTAGCTATGTAGCTAGCTACAGGATAAGCAGCTAGCTAGCCAAATAGCTAATCAACTAACCAACCTATCGTTATAGCCAGGCATCTAGTTACCCATCCAGCTAGCGATGTATATATAGATGTAATATATATGTACAGTATATATTTTATATTATGATGGTTTTGTTTGCTTCCTGACTTCTGATAATTGCTTATTTACAAACAATTTTTATTTTTTTGTTTATTATTGTTAATTGCTTATTGCTGCTACTGACTGTTACATCTCAGGAGACAGAGAGCTGTGATAAACATATTCAAGAAATTTATTTAAACATTAGAAACAATAAAAACACAATTATAAGGGAGTCTCGCTTGCCCTACAGACAGCGGCATAGATACTTAGTAGAAGAGACAGCTGAGATTATTGAAGACATATAAAAGAAAAGAGAGCTGAGTCGCATGCATTAACTTCAAAACCCTTAAACACCAATAAAACAAAAAAAAGCAAAGACAACTAATTTGATAGGAGACCTCCACATGCATGAAAGAAAAAATAGAAATACATGTACACAGAGAAAAAGAAAACTGCGAAGGGCTCAGGTGTACAGACACTTCCTACTACTCCCTACTTATTGTCTACAAGGAAACCCTAAACCCTAAACCCTAAACCTTTGAAGCTGCTGAGTCTAAGGCAGTTCATACGCGATAAAAGGAAGAGATCCCTACGCTAAGCACATCTTTAGATATATATTTTATATTATGTATTTAATACATATAATATAATATATATAGGGTATATATATTATATATTATACATTATATCTATCTATATTTATAAATATATTTTATATAATATTGTAGTGTGAGCAGAGTGAGTATTTTTCGCAGGTGAGGGGCGTCCAGCAGTTTAATTTTTACAATTGAATAAAAATTTCACTAGTGTATTCAACTGAAGACAATGTGATAAGAAGAATATATTCTTTTTGTCTGTTATTCATAGTACTTTGTTTTGTTTTTGCTGTTGAGTTTAAGAAGATATTTTGCAGGAGCTGTCGGCTCTCCTAGAGGGTGCTGGGCTTTAAGCCAGCCGCTGCAACTCGTTTGCCTCGTTTGATGTAAGTAAAAGTTGGTATTAAAAGAATAAAGATGTGTATATTAAAAATATACAGCTTTGATAAACTACTAGAGAAGTAGCCCTGTCAGTGTGGGGTGTACCGACAGCTTTGGCGCGCGTGCGAAGTTATGAACAAGCAGTTTGCATCTGGAAAGAGAGTAAAAATAAGTGTAAATCTCGGGAAAATGTTTTAAATATATATATTCTTTTCAATTTCTTCTAGCTTTTTTCTCGAAAACGAAAATTTCTTCCTTTTCCCTTGAAGCCACTCGTTATCCTGGGGCTGCGACGCCGACGAGCGGCAGCGAGGCTAGTGCTCTGTTTGCCTCATCTGCTCGCTCTTATGCCTTTGAATTCTTAAATTAATTCAAAATTTGTTAATATTTCTTCTCCGGTTTCACCGGGTGCGTTTATAATTGCAGCTTTCTGCTTAGTCGCCCACGGTTGATAACTGCGCAATTTTTTTTCAGCATCCCCCCTGGGTTCGGATCGCCTGGTTTATTTTTCTGCTTTATTTCCTTTTTTTGATGACTAACTGAATATATTTTGTGTTTATTCCTGTCTGTATTCGTTTCTGCATTTATTTCTGTCTGTATTCCATAATTCTGTTGGCTTTCCCCAAGACCCGCGCAGACAGCCGCTTCGATCTGCAATTAGAGTTTCAGTGAGTAAGACCTTCTTTTTCTTCCTGTTTCCACTTCAGGGTTTGTTTCTGAAGATGGCTAGCGGAATCGCCACAGTCAAAGAGGTCATCTCCGGCGACACGCTGGTGCTTGTCGGAGCCCCCAAGGGTATGCAGAGAGCAGCACCTTCTCAATTTATTTCATTTCAATTTAAGCAGTTTACACACCTTATATTCTACCTGTAACGCCTCTCATTCTGCTGTTTGAAGCGCGGTTCTGCTCTTCCTTGCTTCATTTGATTCGTCTATGTTTGTTTCCTCTACAATGATTATTTTATTTTGTCTTTGCGTTGCTTTCCCCCGTTCTCTTTGGGGCTTGCCTTGTCTATTATTGCATGCATTCTATGCATGTATTGGATGCATGCAATGCATACACTGGCATCGTTTATAGAGTGTGTGTGGATGTATCTGTAGACTCTCTCTTTTGTTTGTTTTTGTTGATGAATTTGCATATTTGAATAATATATATGTATTGAATTCCTTTAAGATAATGCCGAATGCTCTATGAATTGTTTCAGGAGGCCCCCCACCGGAGAAGCGTGTCGGCCTATCTTGTGTTGTAGCACCGCGTGTTGCTCTGAAATCTTTAACTCATGAAAGCCCCGATGAACCCTATGGATGGCCAGCAAGAGAGTTAATGAGACATCGGCTGATTGGACAACAAGTTGAATTCAAAGTAGAATATTCTATCGGAGAGAAAGAATATGCATGCGTTCGATTCCAGGGTGAAAATGTTGCATGCGAATTACTTAGAAGAGGGCTAGCCAGACTTAAAGAAAACAGAAACAATAATAATATACAAGATCTACAAGGTATAACCCTAAACCCTAAACCCTAAACCCTCACCACTCAGAACGGTACCCTAAATCTTAAACCATAATTCATAAACGCTAAACTCTGAATACTGAGTCATTGACCTTAAACCCTAAACCCTGATCTCTGAGTCCTAAACCACAAACCCTAAACCCTAAACCCTAAACCCTCACCACTCAGAACTAAACCACAAACCCTGAAGCCTAAACGAGTCTTAAACCATAAACCCTAAACCCTGAGTCTTAAAGCGTAAACCCTGAACACTGAGACCCAAACCACAGACCCGTAACTCTGAGTCCTAAACTATAAACCCTAAACCCTATACCGGAACACTGATTCCTAAACCACAAACCCTAAACCCTAAACCATGAACTCTAAGTCTTGAACTATTAGCCCTAAACCCTAAACCCTGAACATTGAGTCCTAAACCCCAAACAAAACGCTAAACCCTAAACCCTAAGTCCGAAACCCATAGCACTGAAACAGCAATTAGCAATCCTACTCGATAAATCCTAAACCCTAAACCCTAAACCCTAAGCCCTAACGCAAATGCCTCTAGAGCTTTCGTTTTATAGTGAATTTTGGTGCTGCTGCATGCGTTTGATTATGTGCAGCTTTAGAAGAATGTGAAGCCGAAGCAAAAGCAAAGCAATTGGGTGTACATTCAGCGGACAGCGGCAGCAGCACTGTGAGAACAATTAAGTGGGCTGTAGGCGAAGCAGACTTTATTGCAGAGTTTGTTGAGAAGCATAAGGGTAAGCAGCTACCAGCTATTGTAGAATATGTTCGAGATGCTGGATCCTTTAGACTTGCTATAAGGACAGAAGAAGAAGACGAAAGTCATCTTTCTTTTGTATATTGCTCACTCTCTCTTTCGGGGATACTATGTCCTGGGTTAAGGCGATCGCCAGAAGGAAAGACAGTTGCAGAACCATTTGCAGGTGAAGATCTGCATTCGGGTGTATATGCAGCTTTTATCGTGCACTTTTTCTCGCTTTCTTTCTCGCTCTCATTCTCTGTCTGTTTTACTTCTATTTGTCTATGTCTTTGTCTCTCTTAGAGCTCTCTCTCCCTCTCTTTATTGTCATTGTCTATTTTTCTTTTTCTTTGTAGCTGTCTCTGTCTTTATCTATTTTGTGTTTCTGTCCCTCCTTCTTCTTCTCTTCCTTCTTTCTCTTTCTATCTCTGTTTCTTTCTCTCTCTTTCTTTCTCTCTATGCTTGTCTTAGTGCATCTTCTTCTCTTTCTGTGTATTCTCTCTTTGTCTCTCTCTCTCTTTCTATCTTCTGGTTTATTGATTTGGATATTTCGCGCTGTCTTTTTTGTGTTTATTCTGCCGGATCTCCTCGGACGTTCTTTATTCTTTTTTACTGCGCTGATTCCTCTTTTGAAATAATTTGATTAGACATGCATGAACATTTACGTGCTTTCTTCTTCATGGTTCTTCAACTGCTACTGCTGCTGCTGCTACTGTGTCTGCTCTTGCTGCTCCAGTTGCTGCTGTTGTTGCTGCTGCTACTTCTACTGTTTCTGCTGCTGCTGCTGCTGATATTGCTTCTGCTACTGCTTCTGTTTCTGCTCTTGCTGGGATTGCTGCTGCTGCTGCTGCTGCTGCTATGTGGATAATTGTTGAGATATGTTGAATGCTTTTGATTATTTGTTTGTGTTGTGTTGCAGCTGAAGGGCGTTTCTTTGTTGAAATTCGATTACTGAATAGAGATGTCTCTGTGCGAGTTGAAGGCTCTGATGATTACGGTAATATGTTAGGAACGCTGTTACACCCCAAAGGAGATATTAGTCTTTTGCTGCTTTCTAATGGATTTGCAAAAGTTAATAATGCTACAGTTGGCCTCACAGAACAACCGAATAAACTCAGACAAGCGATGAAAGAAGCTCAAACTAATAAACTACGTAGATGGAAGGTAAATATATATAATATATATATATATATATATTCATTCAATAAATGTTTCTTTTAATACTCCAAAAGATATTATCTTCTTCTTTTTCTTTTCTTTATTTACTTCTTCTGATTCTTTTTCTTATTCTTCTTGTTCTTATTCTTCTTGTTCTTCATCTTTATGTTCTTCTACTTGTTCTTTTTCTTGTTGTTATTCTTTTTCGTTTTCTTTTTCTTCTTGTTTTTGTTCGTATTCTTCTTTTTGCTGTTCTTCTACTTCTCGTTTTTTTTCTTCTTGTTCTTATCCTTCTTCTTCACGTTCTTCTACTTCTTGTTTTTATTCTTTCTGCCGTTCTTCTTCTTGTTCTTATTCTTTTTCTTGTCCTTCTTGTTCGTTTTCTCCTCCTTTTTCTTCTTGTTCTTATCCGTATTCTTCTTTGTGTTCTTCTACTTGTTCTTCTTCTTGATCTTCTTGTTATTATTCTTCTTTTTGCTGTTCTTCTACTTGAATTTGTTGTTTTTTATTCTTTTTGCTGTTCGTCTTCTTGTTCTTATTCTTCTTGCTTATGTTGGCCTCACCGTTCTTCGGATTCTGCTTCTACACCTTCTTCTTTTTCTTCTTTGTCTTTCTTTCTTCTTCTTTTTCTTCCTCTTCTTTTTCTTTTTCTTTTTCTTTTTCTTTCTTGCCTTCTATTTGTTATTTCTATTTTTCTTTTTATGCTCTTCGCAGTTCTTCTGCTGTTTTTTCGCTTTCTTCTTCTCTCACTTTGACCCGCTCTTCTTTTCTCTGTTCTTTGAATTTTCGTTTTTCTTTTGTTTTACCTTCATATAATTCTTCTCTTCAATTTTCTCCTTTTTGTTTGTTTAGCGTTTGGCGTTTATATTTTTGTTTTCTTTTTGCTTTATTTGTTTGTCTTCTTTCTTTGTTGATTTGTTTGTGTAGCATTAAGAGTATATTTTGTTTGTTTTTTCTTCTTTCTTTCAAAAAGCATTCAATAACACCTCTACCTTCTTTTCTTCTTTTTTATTTATTTGTTTTTTCTTTTTAGGATTTCTCTTCTTCTGTTTCGACTGATAGTTTAGAGCGAGTGTATGCAGCAACAGTTGAAGAAGTTTTTAGCGGTGATTCTATTTTATTGCGGCTGCCTGACGGCTCTTCTCGCCGAGTTTATTTCGCCTCTATTCGCTGCAATAGACCCTCATCAGCAGCAAAACCTCAACCCAGAGAAGATGAAGCACTTGCACTCGAAGCAAAAGAACTCGTCCGCAAAAAAACCATTGGAAAAATGGTTAAGGTCAGAACATTCACAATAATATAATAATATATATATATATATAATATATATATATATATAATATATATATAATA